TATATATATATATATATATATATATATAAAATTGATAAATTACAGACATTACATCTACTAATTTTTTACAAAATCCGTTCATACTCACAAATAACCTTCCGTGTATTTATGTTAAATGATGAGAGAAATGTGCTATTCCTGTTTACATTTCTTTTATTTTCATTTCCAAACTACTTTCGATCTTCTTCCAAGATCATATCCAGGGGTATAAATAGTACATAACTATTTGTTGTTCATTAGTACAAGTATTTATAGAAATTTGTCTGTTGTTATACATTACCGAAATTTTTTCATTATGCTTTAAATGCAAAACGGTTGACAATGTGCAGAACGTTTATGAGAACGTGAAAAAATTATCCATTATGGAATTTCCTGTGTGTCTGTATCAATATGTTCATATGCATACGCGTATTACATCATTTTGAGAAATTTTCTGCATGGCCGATTTCGAAATAATCCGAAAATACATATAATTTTGAAGGAATTTTCATCGAACCGAGAATCTTATTAATTTACTCGTAAATCTTTGCAGAACTTTACTACGTAATTTTCTCTGTCTAATGTTCACCCTCAATATTCATGGTGAAGTGATTCATCATTATGCTGCGCAATTATTGATTAGGTACATATCCCTCAAATTTGAACTATGAAAATAAAATGGACCTATGCACAGGATAAATGCTACAATTAGTGTTAAATTCAAAACAGTAGCAAAAGTAAAGAAAGGAAATTGTTGATGCCGTGAATAATGTTAAGTTTTACGAAAGAAACACAAAAGCATTGCATAAAAATGTTTATTTATTGGAATAAACGATGTATCCTAAGTATAAATAAAAGCAAAATTATATTTAGCATAAATAAAAAGAGAGTAGAAATCTCTGGTGCCCTATTGAGGAAGTGGGCTTGGAAAATTTGTCACTCACAGGATATATTGAAGGTAAGAGGGACAGAGGAAAACAGCGCGTAACGTATTTAATGAGCGTGTGTAAATGGACATCAAAAAGCAGCTTTGGTGAGATAGCAAAGGGTCCAAATATTTTAAGAGCTATAAAAGACAGGAAATTGTGGAGAGCCATGATCGCCAACATCCTAAAGGGATATAGCATATAGAAGAACATATGGATTATTGTGCTAGATACACCTAGTGAACCAGACAAACCTACCTAGGTTTCACCTAAACGGATCGTCAGGTCTGCTCTACGGTTGTATTGAGCTCTTTTGTTCGTTAGTTGTTACTCGTATCGGGGTTTTTTCTTTGGGCTTCAGACCTGCATCTGTGCGAATTTTTTGTCGGCAGAAGTTCATGTTTGTAGCTCTTTCTTTTTTTAAAACCTTTTTTTCCCTCGAGATTGATTTGATTAGCAAATCAAAAATTCGAGGGTCTTTCGAAACGAGTCTAGTTATCTATCTATCTATCTATCTATCTATCTATCTATCTATCTATCTATCTATCTATCTATATATATAATTATTTATTTGAAAATGATAAGATAAATATGTTATAAAATCACTAAAAAATTTCAACACCTCTGGTGTTTTATCAAGTATACTTTTTTTTTTTTTTTTTTTAAGCATTTCACCCCAAGCAAGGCGGGAAGCCACTAGGACGCAAGGGGTTACAGAAGATAGGAAGATCAGATAGGAGTGATAGAAGATAGGATGAGGGTAGTAGATAGATTAGGGCAACTGGAGATGTCGATTGACATTACACTTGAATAGCTGGAGATTATAACTCACAGGGAAACAGGAGAAGGGAAGAGAGTTCCACAGGCGAGAGGTGCGAGACATGAAGCTATTAGAGTAGAAGAGACGGCTACATTTAGGAGTTTCGACAGTAAAGGGGTGAGAGCAGGATGCCAGCCTCGTAGGGCGCTTGAACTCATGAAGTCTGGGAACCAGCGAATGCAGCTCCTCGGAACAATTTCAATGAAAGTATTTGTAGAACAGACAGAGGGAGGCGACGGTGCGTCTGTGAGAAAGTGACTGTAGACGAGGACGCCAGGGCAGGGCCAACCATGTGCATATCCGCTTCTGGAGCCTATCAAGAACCCTGAGGCAAACAGAAGGGGCGCCAGACCATATATGGCAGCAATACTCCATGCAAGGGCGAATTGTGGATTTGTATATCTGGAGGATCGACTCAGGGGAGAAAAACTTCCTAGCGCGGCTCAGGGCCAACTTTCCTCGCAGTGGACGAGGCAATTGACTCGATGTATTTATTCCATCTCAGGGTCAGCAGTCAACGTGAGACCGAGAAGCCGCAGAAGTTGCTCTCGAGAAGTTGAGCGTCAGACATTCTAATGGAGGGAAAGGAAGGCTCTCTTTGGTGATTAATAGAAAGCAGTTTTGTCTTCGAAGCGTTGAAGTTGACCAGCCAATTCATGCCCCAGTTCACAATCGATTGGAGGTCCTTTTCGAGACGCACGGCAAGGTGAGTTTTGTCAGCGAGACTAGATTTGTTTTTGAGGCAGGAATAAATTGTGGTGTCATCCGCGTAGAT